GATAGATAGATAGATAGATAGATAGATAGATAGATAGATAGATAGATAGATAGATAGATAGATAGATAGATAGATAGATAGATAGATAGATACAGTTTTGTAATTAAAAATAAATTTTAAAAAATGGCTAAAAGCAAGAACCCTGGGATGGTGATAGATTGTTTGATTTCCCCCTAAGAAACTTCAGATTGTGACAGTGAGGTGTACAAAAGTTGTGCTGAACATTTTCATACATAGAGTTAAAAAAGGAGGACTGCTGAAGCAGAGAAAATATGTACATACGGTGTTTGACAACATCATTCTAAAAGATGTACCGGAGAAACAAACAAACAAACAAACAAAAAATAAGTGACCTACAGGGAAAACAAAAATAAGGTCATCATCTTGGGAGACGTAAGCGTTCAGCAGCAGCTTTGCTCTGTGACCATGTGAATGTCTAAAATTACCTGACAGAGCTGAGACCGTAGGACCACACCTGGAGAGCCACGGCTCAGTGATCCTCTCCGCTAAATATAGAATGACTCAGTGTTGGAGGTTAATTGGAACACTTCTTTCACTGAAACACCGGCTCTTCTGAGTCCATTTGTAGGTAAATTTTACAGTCAGGATCTGTTAAGGGACAGGAACTGTGCTGTCAATCCAGAGGGATTGAAGCAGAAGGTCAGTGAGGCTGTCAAAGCAAAAAATGTAAATGTAAAAATGGGCCACTGCTGATAAACTAAATCTGAACCATTTTTCTTTATGCAATTGATAAAATGATGAGCTTTTTATGAAACATCTAGAAATGACTTGATGAATTTGGAGTGTACATCAGAAGAGCATCAAATATCATCTCTGAATTATGTTATAGTTTCATTTACAAAGCTGTGCTTTCAGCTAACTTGTCCTCACAGGTCTGGCCCAGTTCTGGCCCACACAACACATTAACACTTGGTCCAGAAACAGCAAAAAATGGTGGCCCTTTGGTGGTCCAGATGTGCTTTGCCAGAGATGGTCCATGCATGGGCCAGCACCACGTAAACCAAACCACAACTGGGCAAGTTGTGGCATGCCATCTTAAAAACAGTGCCATCATTACCAGACCTGGCCCACATCCGAGTGAAAAAACACTGCCAGCAGTCAGTCATCGGTGCCAGTTTGACACCAGATCTGGCCCCTTATGTGGGCATCATTTTTCTTTTTCATTTGAAACTTGTGTTTGGCAGTCAGTTTATTACAGTGGTCCCCAAAGCTGAGGTCGGGACCCCACTGTGGTTCATAAAACACAGAGTGTGGGGCAGTGAGAAGGTCTACAGAAATCATTACATTAAAAATGGTTGGCAAGAACATGTTTACCCTTAACTGCAATCTGTAACAGATTATTAATCAGTTATAAAGTATTTGAAACTTTAAACATATTGCAATTATTAACTATTAGCTCATATCTATTATCTATGTTAACAATATTTTTTCATTAAGTAGCTTGTGTCTTTATTTACCAAGATATATTGAACACAATCAGGCTGATTAGGCCTGTGTTGTTTTATACTAAGT